CGCAATGTGAAGTTTGCCAATGAACCAAAACTGAAACTCTAGCCCCAGCTGGATTACTTCAGCCACTTCCTGTTCCCTGTCAAGTGTGGGATGATATCAGCTTGGACTTCATTGAAGGCCTTCCATCCTCCCACGGCAAAGATAGTCTTTTGGTGGTCGTAGATAGACTCAGTAAGTATGCTCATTTTGTTGCTTTATCTCATCCGTTTTCAACAAGGTTGTAGCTGAACATTTTGTAGAGCACGTCGTCAAACTCCATGGCATGCCTAAATCAATCATTAGTGATCGCGACCCCATCTTTATCAACAAATTTTGGCAGGAGTTTTTCACTATATCAGGCACCAAGTTGAAATTGAGCTCTGCCTACCACCCCCAAACCGACGGACAAACTGAAGTTGTGAACCGCTGTGTTGAACAATACCTCCGCTGTTTTGTTCATCAATGGCCACGAAAATGGTATCGTTATTTACCTTGGGCAAAATTCTGGTATAATACCACCTACCACAGCTCAACGGGGATGACACCTTTCCAAGCATTGTATGGACGGCTTCCTTCTTCTATTCCACTTTATTTTGATGGGTTATCTCGGGTTAACAAAGTTGATTAAAGCCTCTTACAACGAGATGAAGAAGAATTTGAACATGGCAGCCAATAGAATAAAACAAACAGCAGACAAAAAAAGGCGAAATGTGGAGTTTCAAACAGGTGATATGGTCCTCTTAAAGCTACATCCTTATCGCCAACAAACCGCCTTCAAACGAGTGCATCAGAAACTTGCCAGCAAGTTCTACGACCCTTATCAAATCGAGAAGAAGATCGGCAGTGTTGCTTACCAACTGCAATTACCAGCAGGTGCAAGACTCCACCCTGTTTTCCATGTCTCTCTCTTGAAGAAATATGTAGGGGGTCCTCCACAAGTTACCCTGGAGCTCCCACCTATTACTGATGAAAGTGTAGTTTCCGTAGAACCAGAGAAAATCCTAGATACATGCTGGATTAAACAGGGCAATAAATTTATTGAAGAGAGCTTAGTGAAGTGGAAGCAATTACCTACTGAAGATGCTACATGGGAGGACACAACAATGCTGCATAATCAGTTTCCTTATCTGGACCTTGAGGACAAGGCTCCAATCGGCGAGGGGAGTGTTGATAAGCCGAGAAGATCTAAACGAATCCCTAAGAAGAATCCCAAGTTTTTAGCCTGAGTTAGACCAAGTCTAACTCTGCCTTTTATTTTATTTTCTGCTTCTGTTTTGTATCTTTTATTTTATTTTCTGCTGCTGTTTTGTATTTTTGCTCATTCAAAGTTGTTACAACCCACTCCCTTGAATTTAGACTAGTTAGTTTCCTGAGTTGAAGCTGATCTGTTAAGCTTAACTCTATTTATTGGAACATTTGCAATGAGTAAAGGATATATAATTTCCTTTCAAACAATTGTGGTTTATCTTTCACCCAAAGAAAGTGAGTATTCCTCAGAATTGTTTTCTGCTTCATAATCAGGACCTATCATTGGTATCAGAGCAGACTACCATGGCGTCCAACAAAGAGCGGATCGAAGCTTTGGAGGCTGGGCTCGATGGAGTTCAGGGTGGATTGCAACGATTAGAGGACACCATCAACAAGCTGCCAGAAGCTTTTTTTTTCAAGTAGAGAAGCCTCTAGCAACAACAACCATGGACCAGAAGGATCTTCCCGTTCGCATCGAGAGGAGAACGACGACGACAGACAAATTTTCTCTTCCAAGATGGCGAAGTNCCAGAAGCTTTTTTTTCAAGCAGAGAAGCCTCTAGCAACAACAACCATGGACGAGAAGGATCTTCCCGTTCGCTTCGAGAGTTGAACGACGGCGACAGACATTTTTTCTCTTCCAAGATGGCGAAGTTGGAATTTCCAAAATACTTTGGAGAAGATCCGACTGAATGGCTTAGCAAAGTAACTCAATTCTTTGAATTTCAAGGCACAACGGAGGATCAGAAAGTAACTCTAGCATCTTTCCACCTTGAAGGAGAAGCTAATCAATGGTGGCAATGGATGCGTCGAACTTACCAGGAGGAAGGCAGCTTGGTGACCTGGGAGTTCTTTGAAGAGGAATTGTGGGCTCATTTTGGACCAACGGAGTGTGAAGATTTTGATGAAGCTCTATCTAGCGTTCGACAGGTTGGATCCCTTCGTGATTACCAAAGAGAGTTCGAGAGGTTAGGCAATCGAGTTCATGGTTGGACACAGAAGGCTCTCGTTGACACTTTCATGGGAGGATTGAAACCCGAGATCGCTGATGGAATTCGAATGTTCAAGCCCAAAACATTGAAGGAAGCCATCAGCTTAGCAAGAATGAGGGATGAACAGATCGCCAGAACAAAGAGGTTCACACGGCCCCCACTGCTGAACCGTGTACCTACATCCATCACTCCAGTGAATCGTTCTACTTCAACAGCGACACCCAAGAGATTAAGTTGGGATGAAATGCAGAAACGGGTGGATCAACGTGTGGCCATCCCGAGCAACGTGTGGCCATCCCGAGCAACAAAAGTGGGTAGCAAAGCTTTTGGGATATGACTACGAAATTCTTTACCGACCAGGACGTGAAAATTCAGCAGCTGATGCCCTCTCTCATCACCCGGACAGCCCTCTCCTTAATCCTTTGTTTGTTTCACGGGTTACTCTTTGGGATGATATGAGAAGGGCAGCACAAGATGATCCGTATATGCAGCAAGTTAGCCACCAATCAACTATGAACCCCACCGGTCCATACTCAATGCAAAATGGCCTCTGTTTCTACAAAAAAAGAGTGATTGTCCCACAAACTATCCGTAACCAGCTGCTGTAGGAATTTCATGACAACAAAATGGCAGGGCATTCTGGCGTATTGAGGACATTCAAAAGGTTAGCTCAACAATTTTATTGGCCATCCATGTACCGGTCAGTCTAAGCCTATATTACGCAATGTGAAGTTTGCCAATGAACCAAAACCGAAACTCTAGCCCCAGCTGGATTACTTCAGCCACTTCCTGTTCCCTGTCAAGTGTGGGATGATATCAGCTTGGACTTTATTGAAGGCCTTCCATCCTCCCACGGCAAAGATAGTCTTTTGGTGGTCGTAGATAGACTCAGTAAGTATGCTCATTTTGTTGCTTTATCTCATCCGTTTTCTGCAAAGGTTGTAGCTGAACATTTTGTAGAGCACGTCGTCAAACTCCATGGCATGCCTAAATCAATCATTAGTGATCGCGACCCCATCTTTATCAGCAAATTCTGGCAGGAGTTTTTCACTATGTCAGGCACCAAGTTGAAATTGAGCTCTGCTTACCACCCCCAAACCGACGGACAAA